TGGAGCCAACGTTAGGAAAAAAAAGCAGCCGGAGCCAACGTTAGGAAAAAAAACACCTCCGCCTTTGACCATCGATACGAGTTCTACCCCGTATAAGTTGCTATCTATGTAAGTGGAGATACTTTGCTATGCTCCTTACTACAGAGTAGGTTGATATCCTCCTTCCTTTCTGTGGGCATAATATCTTAAAAGAAGAATACCGCCTTATTAGGTGAGCCACACCAAGCAACACCGCTCATTTGGGGTTTGGGGGTAGGATTCGGGCACCTCCTTCTGGTACAAACGGAAAAAGAAGCTGGAAATGACTGAGTGTCATTTAAGGTTGCGGGCTTATGGTTTAGCATGTTTTGTAAGGAATAGAATTGTAGGGACTCTTCTTTGTTGGATTTTTCGACACTAGAATGGGATCCATCCCGCTATTTTTCCACGCGCAAGGTAAAGTTTGGCCGCGATGATGTCTATTTCAGCTTTGGCTTGTGGGCTTTGAGCACACTGCCTGTATCTGACAGCTGGCGGCCACCCTGTTCCCCTACCAAGTAAGATTCCCTGCCCCGGCAGTACTTTTTGGCATACAGTGAATATTGGGGGGGGGGTTTAGGGTTTAGGGTTCTAGAATTCAGCTTTCCCAGCCAGATATGGCAACACATGGCTGCTACGTATGTACTTAGGCATGCAATGTGCTTGTAGTGGGCATGACACAGTATGTTGGAACCAAATCATCCACTTCTGTACTTTGCCAGTAGGATGGACGCTAAGACTTAAATACCATACCCAGAGCCTCAAACTCACATTCGAAACTCCCCTCATCCCAAGCCGTCAATCAAAAACAAGCAGCCCCGAATCCTTTAAACCATGAAGCCCAACAACTGCACCTAGCCTTCTGAGACCCCCACATAGCTTACACCCTCGCCCAAAGCATATGAGCCATAGTCTCAACTCCTAGTATCCCCCTTAACGACCCTTATAGTAGTCCCCTATATAATCCCTTTCATAATTATACCCCCCCTTTAAGGAGTGCAGACTATGGCTCATGTAGGAGCCTCAGCCTTAGGCACGGCGGAGCGACTGGGCGCTCACATAAGATGTTAGGTGTTTCGCCCAAGGTTGGGCAAAATGGGCCACTATGTGAGCTACAGTCTAAGCTCCAAGAAGGGGAGCGGTAAATACTGGATTATATACGGGTCTACTATAGGGCTTATTATGGGGGATACCAGGAGATTAGACCATGGCTCATGTAGGGTTTAGGGCTTAGTGAATGCGCCTCTCGGCTGCTGTGGGTGGTGTAGAGATTCCTTAAATCCGCGTCTCCACGACATTTTACTGGCCCAGCATCCATTTGAGGGGGCTTGGGGGGGTACAATTAACCCTCTATGTCAAGGCTATACATCTGCTGGTACAGGTGTGGAGTTGTTTGCTTCGTACGTAGGGGCTTTACGGATTAGCAGGTTCGGTTTGGAAAACTGCAACCCCCCAATTTACAACCCTGTAAGCCTAGGACTATCATCTGACTTAAATAAAGTTTGGGGGTTGAGGTTACCCAAATTTTCGTATCGGGGACATAAGTTTACTTCGCAGTTGGCAGGTTGGGAGTAGTTGAAGTATCAGTGCGTTGCGTTTGGTTCACAATACTCCCTTAATAATACCAGAAAGCCAACTCCCCAAGAGTATGGAGGTGGTGGTAATCAAACAGGATCTTAAACAAACATGGAACCTGCACATAATACATATAGGTATACACGCATACTTGTTCTTTTGGATATGTATATACATATGTAAATATGTATGCTGCCAACATAATATACTTTTCTCTGTGAAAGATCTTCATTATCCTTTGGTGGGAGGGTTCACTGAATGAGGGATGGAATCAAAACAGCGCAAGCTTACCCTCAAAGCCAAAACCTTAAACCCTAAATAGTAGCTTCCATTTTATTGTCCATTATCCCAATATATCCCCCATGTTACCCCTATATAATACCCTAAACCCTCAAACAAACATGGAACCTGCGAGGAGGCCCCTCTTTAGATAGCAGTCGATGGTTGTCCTATGAAGGAAACCATGCAGGTATATATGGGGGTTTCCCAAAATTAGGGATACCTTTTGGGGGGTCCCAATAATAAGGACTATAGTATAGTAGGGTCTATATTGGGGTCCCCTTATTTAGGGAAACTACCATATTGTTTTATAGCAAATTGCAATCCGGAATCCGGAGCCAAGGGCAATCAACCCTAAACTGAAAGTCTTAAACTGCTCCTCAACCCCATATCCCCCTTATAAGCCTGAGGACAGCAGACCCGTGCGCGCGCAACTTTGTGGTGTGCCGCTCGTCGTTTCCAAGCGCTTGCCTTCATTCATGGTCCAAGTATGCAAGTGCGCAGACTCTCAGACTTCGTCTACAAAACGCAACGCCACATATTTTGAGGGCACGGAATTATCTTGTATCATATCATAGCGGCAAGGGACATTGGGTGAATCTCGGAGTCTTAGTCTCAAAATACATGCCAGTGAAGCCCAAGATCTACAATCATAGAGTATTGCCGTCGGGCTTATATGAGAAGCCCCTGGTGTAAGTAGAGTTTCCTGCCTGTTTGGGCTTTGGCAGGAAAATCTGTGCATGTGCCAGAGTATTGCTGAGCCCCCCCCATATATGGGTAAGAAGGCCGTGCTTTCGGAGACAGTGGACGCAGCTCTCCTGTGCTTAGCATGTGTAAATTCCATGATACATTTGATTAAGCTACTGCACCTTTGTCCTTGGCAATGACCCTCGATTACTGCAATTTCAAGCTAAGCCAGGCCTAAACTCTAAACCCCAAACCTCAGAAGTGTGGTTTTTATCTAAAAGCTCCAGGGTGTCTTGAGAAGCTATTGTCATGTCCGAGCGTGTCGTTGACAGAGAAAGGAATCATGTCCCAGAAGGGTTCCAGCGCTGAATATTCAGAAGCTTTCCAACACGTATGCTTCAAGCAGTGGTAGTACCATGACTGCAAGCCCCAAACCCTAAGCCAAAATTCCTGAGTTCTGAATTGTCAGGTATTTGTACCCTTGTGGTTCTTCACAGAATCTGAAGCTCTACATCATGTGTGAGAAATTACCCCACCTAACAGCCCTCGCCCTACAAACCTGCAGGACAGGGCTAAAAGTAATACCCAGATAGTAACTCCAAGAAACCCTCAACCCTAAATTCGCAACCCTGAGCCCTAAACCCTTCCCTTAAGTAGCAGCTCTACTGCCAAGGTGTAGCATCCAGGCGTCGCAGTTGGGATCTGCCTTTGCAGCCGTTCGCTGTGATGGAGGTGTGGCGTTTTGGCAGCAGTTTTCTCCCTTGCAACGAGTTATATGGTAGGTTGCTTTTCCAACTTATGGTCCCTTTGTGAGTCCCCATTCTGGTACGGCTTCCCGCAAAGGAGCTATAATTCTGACAGCTCTTCATAGCAAGCATTTAAGGGTTGTACCCCTAAGGCCTGGGTCTCAGGATGCCCTGAACCCCTTGGTTGGGACGGACTCTTTCTCAGTTGCTGAAAACCATAATTCAAAATGCCATGTAAGTAAGCCGTTTGCCCACTTAGATATGAGGTGCCTATACAATCATCCAGCTCGAAACTTGCAGGTACGTGAACAAGTCATTGCAACCTCAGCAAAAAACTCCCACGCCTCGTTTTGGATTTTGGATTGGCTGCACAAGGTCGTCGTTTCGCCAGACACTAGGTGTCCTTCTTTGGGGAACCAGCGCAGGATTAAAGATCATGGAGCGGCACCTTGTAGGGTCTGAAGCTGATCCTCTGTTCAAATTTGTGTGGTGCCTGCGCAACCTCAATACCTTACCTTCAAGTCCAGGAACTGCAAAATCCACTCTGGGGTTTGTGTGAAGCAGACCCATGACAGCACTTAAAGGCTAAAACACTCCTGACTAACTAATCAGACCTCAGCCCGAAACTCTGAGACGCTAGCCCTGAACAGTTCCCAGGTGACGTGGGGCGGCATGGATTGCGGCGGCGACAGCGACGCTGTAGCAAGTCAGCTGCGACCCGGTTCATGCTCCGACGAGCAAGCTGGTCAGCAGTTGCGATGCATCTTGGAGAGTGGAAAGGCAGCAGGAGCAAAATGACTACCATCATCTTGTGGTTGCAGTACTAGAACCATGGTTCTATCACATGTATTTGGCATGATATTCGCAAGCCTTCCTAAAGTTTGCTAGCTACAATCAGACCATGAACCGGAATCCGAAACCCTATACCCTCAACCCTAAACTTTGTAGACCCTGAACCCTGAACCCTCAACCCTAGACTTTGTAATTCAAGGGTCTGTGAACATATCCTTGGCAGGAGAACTCTCCACGGGACCCAACAAACAGGTTTTGGCTTGTAGGGTTCAGGATCCACAGGGTTTCGGGTATAGAATTTACAGCTTAGGGCTTGAGAGTTAAGGTTATAGAATGATGCTTACCTCAGTCTTGAAAGGAAGCAAACTTGAAACCCTATGTCCGAAACCCCGCACGCTCAACCCCAAGCTCTAAACCCCAAACCCTAAACCCTAAGTTATCGCAGGTGGCTCGCCTGAAAAAATGGCTCGCAACAGCCCGGTGCCGACTGGCTAGCAAGGCCCACTTGGTGGGGTTGGGTCTGCGGTTTGGGCAAGGTCGAGTTATAAGGTTATAATATAGGGGTCATATGGGATTACTGTAGAGGGGTTATATGGGGTTATTATATATGGGGCATATGGGTCTAGACCTCTTCCGACCCCAAATGGTGGCTTCAGCTTGTGGCCTGCAATGATTGTTTCCATGAATGGGGGGTCCCCGGGTAGATGCCCTATGCAAGCTCCCAAAAGGCTACCCCTAATTTTGGGAACTTGAACGGCATCATGTTAGGTGTAAGGATTGTAGAAACTGCTACAAGTCAGCTGAGGTTTCCGAGGAGAAGTGTAGAGTAGGGGGGCTTAAGTACTTTAAGCACATGAACTTGCTCTCTTTAAGCCTGCGTGTAGTCTCCATAAAAAAGTATATGTGTATCATATTATCATTTGTTCTATGATTTGACGGCGTTTGTAGGGCCTCCAAACTCGTTGGGTTATTGGAGCACAAAAGGATGGCAACTGTTGGGTCTTTTGCAAGCCAGCTAGGTTTTGGCGGTCACTAAGATGAGAACCGCAGCAAGACTTCGAGGGCTTTCGGCTTTGTTCTGCTCAGTCGGAGACCCTAAACTTTATTGATCAATTGGACTCGGGGATCTGTGCTCAAGCTCGTGGAGCGTTCTGCGGGTATGGCAGTCAAGCCCTAATCCCGTAACCTGAAACAAACAAAGAAGCAGCTACCTGCACGCAGGTCTGTGTAATGTTGCTCTCTTAACATCTTACTTGCTTCGCGGCTTGGCACCTAAAGGCTCTTATAGCCATTGCTGAATGTCACAACTTGGAAGATTCGGGATGCTGCTTAGAGCGGCCATATTTTTGTTTTCTCGGGTCCACATAAATGATCGTGAGATGGTTTGGTATTTGAACAAGCCTCAGCATCAGGATCACCCCTACATCCCCCAAATTTTAAACCATGAACCTGGTATGTTCTCAAGATCAGCAATAAGCACCACGGAAGCTTGAGAAGCTTCCCCATCCTTCAAGCATGAGGTTCTCGAAGCTGGAAGGGGCGGGCGTTGAGGGTTTTTAGGGCTTTTGAGGAAACACAGGGGATGTGAAGGAAGATTTAGGCGCACTTAGGAATAGGGGTCGACATACCTTCCGTACAGCCATCATGGAACTCCATTTCAGATGCTTTTAAAAGGACCGTAGTACTTGTAGGTATCTTTTGGTTTTCCCTGCTTGTTTGCAAGAGGATTAGTTCAGCACTAGGTGAAAAGTAGGATGTAGGCTAGGTCAGCACAACATGCTTGAACTTGCAGCGGGGTTCCTGGAACGTTTGGGAATCTCCCAAACCGACCGGAAGCTCAACCTTAGCCTGAAACTTTTTGCGAGGAGCCGTACCCTTAGAGGACAATAGTCTCTACGGAGCCATAGACCCTGAACCCTGAACCCCAAACCCTAAACCCGAAACGCGAAACCCTAAACCCTATAAACCCTAAACCCTATAAACACTGAACCTGAAAACCTAAACCTGAAACCCTAAACCTTATAAACCCTAAACCCTATAAACCCTAAACCCTATATACCCTAAACCCTAAACGCTGTGGGATTCCATGTTAACTGGGTGCCAGGACTACGAGAAGTTCCGCGAGACACTCCCTGCTCTGCTGGTCTGCGGAAGCGGCTATGAGGCATGGTCTGTATTTGAGCTGTACTCTAAATTCTTTAGCAGGGTGTTTAGGGTTTGGGGTTTCAGGTTTGGGGTTTGGGGTTTAGGGCTCCGTATAGACTAGTTTGGGCAGGTTTTGGGGTTTAGGGCTTTGGGGATTATATGAAGTCTAGTCTAAAGTGCTCAGAGGGGTTATATAAGGGATTATATAGGGGACTACTGCAGGGCTTGTTAAAGGGGATACTAGGTAGACTATAGCTCACTTGCACCTCAAAGATATTGGTGAGTAAAGCAATGGTGCCAAGCCCTCAACAACAGTCAAAGAGGCAATAATTCTACATACTCTGGGGGTTGAGGTAGGGGATAGGGCGTAGGACTTGGGCAGGAAAGGTTGCCTCTTAAAGACGTGAACGTTTCCAGAGGTGTGAGGGGAAGACTCGTGTCTCCGAATTTCTTCTAAGCTTCAAATTCCGAAGACCGTTTTCTTCATTCGCGCTTTAGCGACGTTCAACCGATGTTCGCCGAATCCTTCAAATCCGGCTCCAGCGATACGTACAATATACCCCCAAGCCGCCCAAGCCCTTTTCACATTCAATGTGCCCCTGCCTTGATTTGATTAGCTACCCTAAGCGCGTGTGGCTGTGGAGTCTCTGCTCAGGACCCACGAGCTCAAAGCATCTGAGCCTACCATCAGTGCAACGAGGGAGGGTTAAGGGTTGAAACCCTGAACCTTAAGTCGAGTGGGGAGGAACGATGAGTCTGAATCTCAACAACCCGCGGTTTGAGTACCGTACATTGCAATAGTCGTAGGAACTTCTGCTACAGTAGCAGACCCCAATCCGAATAATCAGATGGTGGCACGGTGTTCCATCGGCATCCAGGGAAGGTCAAGCTTCTGCCAGAACCATAAACAGCTTCCATGTTGAGTTGGGACTGAAATTTTGAGGTGACTGGGCTTCCTCGGTCTGAGGTTTTAGACTCTAAACCCTAGATCCTAAACCCTAAACCCTATACAATTCTCCATATATAACTAGGGTTTGGGGTTTAGGCTGTTGCAGGGCTGTGGTCAATGGTGGTCTGGGAGAGGTGATGCAACGGCCCTTCAAGAGTATGTGAGCTGTAGTCTAAACTCCTTTAAGGGGGTGATGTAGGCGATTATATAGGGTTTAGGGTCTAAGCTTCTTAGAGAGGATTATGCAGGGGACTATATAATATGTGGTTAAGGGTTTAGGCTCCAAACTCCTTAAAGGGGGGTTACATAGGGGATTATATGGGAATAGTACAGAGGTTATTGCGGGGGAGACTGGGAGTTTAGACTATAGCTCATGTAGTGTCATCTGCTCGTTAGGAGACAGCTTAGGTAGCCTGTTACGATGCCAGGCATCTGCGCAGGATCTCCAAAAAAGCTCTGCAGAGTCCCACACAAAAGCTGTAAATCGGTTTCGCCGCTACATAACCCTACACCCTAAACCAAACCTTAAACCCCAAAAACAAATTGTAGTCTTGAATTCGGCCCTTCCTATAATCCTTGCTTTCAAGCAACCCCAACCTTCACTCCGTAAGCACTCCTGGACTGCCTTTGTCTGGGTTGCTGTTAAGG